CAATGGAATAGACCTTGCAGATGTCCAGCACATCGAGGAAGTTGAGGAAGAGGGCTACAAATACCTTGGCATTTTATAAGTGGATCAGATTCTCAAAACCAAAACGAAAATCAGATCGATATGTATAAGAAGAGTTAAGAAGATGTAGATCCAAACTGAATGGCGGAAACGTTATAGTTGGCATCAATGCCTGGACTGTAGATATAGATGTAGAACGCTTCAGTGCGGGCATCGTTCAATTGAACGATAAAAGAGCTTAGGTAAGCATGGATAGAAAGACTAGGGGAATATTTGCAGAGAATGGCAGTTTACACACCAGGGAAATTAACGAGAAAGGGAGGGGGAGGGTTGACTGGCATTGAGGAGTAAAAAGAGGGAGTCAGTAGTTGCATGGCTACCTGAGAGATGATTCTAATGGTTTTCAAAGAGAAGGTGTTTGTTGAAGAAGAGAATCTTCAAGACTACCAAACGAGAAAGAAGTCGAAGGACAAAGCCAGGGACTGGAAGGAAAAAGCCTTACATGGAGAGTTTGCTCGACGATGAAGATGGCTCAGGAATAGATTTCTAAAGAAGGGAAGAGTAGGCTAAATGCCACGACACGCGGGAGTAGACACCTATAGAAATAGCTGTGCCGGCAGGCTCTCGCTGCCCAGTCAAGATATAATCTTAGGTCAAGGAATGCAACTTTTTTGGTACCAGCCAACTCACGGTGCCTACCTACACATAGTGACCGGGCCTTTCAGTCGGCTGCTCCCAAACTGTGGGACAGTCTTCCGAAGTAGCGATATTAACGATTGTAAGCTAATTGCATACATTGACATAGCTAAGGGGTCTTCCTGTGTAGTTCCTTCTGCAGATTTAAGCTCACTACCACCAACCACAAAAAGACGCGCAGGAACTCGATAAGTACTGGTTACATAGGTGGCGATCAACGGGCATAACACTCCGATGTTATTCAGCGCGGCCGCTCTGTTTAGTGAATTGAAGGGGTTTGAGGCGTCAACTAGTAAGGCGGCATTAGTTTCATCGGCTTCAAAGATATTGCGCATGGCATGTATTGCGGCTTCCCTGCGACTCTTCTGACCAGTGCATACTTGCATGGCCCCACTAGCGTTGATCACATCTTGTTCTGCGACTCCAGTGACGCATTTGCCAACTATTCTTCTAATCACCTCACCCACGCCGATTGGGCGAACCTCGCCATTGCCCAAGCGGAATAAGGCGACTGGCTACGATAGGCTCAATGGTCAGCGGATCAACAGGTTCTGTGCACAGTCTTCTTGTGAGTGTAGCAATAGACTCACATGGGTTGATCCTTGATCTTTTTAAAGACTTGCATGCCAAGATCTTCTTGAAGCCTTTGGCGTCCACACCCGAAGGGCCGCCAGAACCTTTAGTTCTCAATGCCGCTTCTCTTACAAGCTCTCCATTAATTTCTTGGTACACTGAGTCAGGTATGTCTTCCACAGGCCCGAACAACAGTGACCCTAGCTTAGCCCTCTGGGTATCAGGGTGTTTTTTCTCTTAGTTGCCTCACAACATTGTCGGTCAGCGGTAATACTCCTCCGCTATCATCCTCACTGAGATATCGCAGGGCCGAATTAATCTGGCCCTCCATGACCAGCTATGCAAAAATGCGCGCTTTATTTGGTGGATCATTCTTGTTCGACTTTGATAAGCGCCGTTGGATCATTCTCCCTTCGCATGATAGAGACTCGATCTCGCCATCTCTCCACAGTGTTAACCGTTTCTCAAGACATTCTTGATGTTCCTGATAATGATTATTGTCGTTGCTATCTCCGGCTATTATTCCTGTCATTGGTTTTCATCCCTCTTTTCATTAGAAATTTTATCAAATCTATATTTCAATATTATAACCAGACAATCTGTCTAGAAAAAGAAAGTGCTTACTTGCTATTGACGATAAATTGCTTCTTTAAGGCTGTGCTTAGAGGGTTCGGTTTCCATAATTAATAAATCTGTTTTTATACCCTGCTTAAAAGAAGCCTTTTGTTAGGTAAACCGAGTGCACCTTGACTGATTATCTTTGCGAACAAATTGAAGTTAATAGAAATATTTGCACACGTCTCTATGAAGTCTTCCTGCTACCATATTACTGCCGCATCATACCATTCAAGAAGCCTATACCAGACAAAGTGTTTGTTGATAACGTGATTAGGACAGAAAAGGTGTCTGATGAAGAGAGCTGTCGAGTAAAGTGTTATTTAGAGCCCAATTGTGTGTCCATTAATGTGGGCCCTGCAGAAAAGGATGGACATTTGTGTCAAATTAGCAACGCTACCGATGACAGCGTGTTAAGGTCTTCGCTAACGACCAAGCAGCGTCACATCCACTTGGCTATTGAGGTATGAAGTTACCGTATTTATTCGAATAAGCGCCCAATCTCCAATAAGCGCCCACCTCGAATAAGCACTCATCCTAGAGGCAGAAAAAGTTAATAAGCGCTCAGCCTCGATTAAGTGTCCACCGCCACCCCACTTTCCTTCTCCTCTCACGTAAACTCAAATAAGCGCCCACCGCCACCGCACCCTCTTTCCCCTCCCACCCCCCAAAAGTTGAATAAGTACGCACCCTGAACACTGGGTTTTTCTTCAGAGTATTCTATAATAACCTTGCTTTGTTAAATCTTTGCGTTTTGCTATTACCATTAATTGTTTTGTTGCAAAATAAACACACTACACTTGCTGAAAATGGTGAAATTGCAATAAGCGCCCTACCTCGAATAAGTGCCCTCTTGCGGGGTTCAAAAATTTAATAAGCGCCCAGGGCGGTTAATCGAGTAAATACGGTACTCTCCATT